CAAAGGGCTACGGCAGCCTTGCTGCACATTGGGCACCACTCAATCGCGAAAATGTGAAATAAAAAATTTTGGAGATCGACTATATCGGCATGGAGCGTCAGCTTACAGATATGCTGACTAAGAAACTCGAAACGAAGATAATTGCATTTGTATGTGAGGCAGGAGATCTCAAGACCAAGGGAATGCAAAGGATCAACAAGCATACACGGCGGGTGGGGTTATTGAGATGACGGCGCTCAATACTTTTAAAGAATGATGTTGCTGGTACATGCGTGAGTATTTAGTTTTGTTTGCTCATAAAATGAACTCGATTTAGCTGAGTGGTAACGGTGCGTTAGCTCCACTTTTATGATTGAGGGTCTCATGAACGAATCCCCGATTCTGGAAACAACCTGCACATAAAACAAGAAAACATGAGTATTTTAAAAATATCGTGCGTAAAACGAATTAATTCAAAAAAAATCTATTGGCACATCTCAAAAAAGCAATTAGAGTATCCTAAAACGCTCAAGAGATACAGAGATCGTGATGAATTGCTGTGAGCTGTAGTCTCGTGTGTCAGGACTGGCGGATAGTGAAAGCAACTGGGTGTCGCCATCTCCCGTGCCAGAGCCGCAAAAATAGAGGGTCGACTGTAAGTGGCAGAATAATGAACTCGAAGTTAAAGAAAATAAAGCATTCTTTCAAGCGACTGGTCTTGATGTATTCATTGCTTGATTCTGCCACTACACATTATCTTACACATCTAGACATATGACGTCACTGATTTCCGTGTTTTGCTAAATTTGAAAATGGAGGTAACACAGAATATAACTGAACGCTGAATGGCTCTCTTGCCGGTGTTGCAGACTTCTAGTAGCATTATGACGCGGATCGTTAAATTCATTGAGCGCAAATATCCCACGTTACCGGAGACTAACTCCTAAAGTCTTTATGGCTAAGAATTGGGCGTGTCATCACTTTGACTCGAGCAACCCATCGATTACGTTGCAGAATGCGATTTATTTTAAAGATTTCAGTTCATGTCATGTATATTAAACACAACTTGCAGTGAGCTCAACGGCTTGGAAAAAATCTGAGGATCGGTACCATAATA